GCTTCTTCTTCCTCAAGGACTTCTGCGTTAGCGGACTCATACAATTTGTTAGCAAAACACCAACGCGATACATCGTGCCGACTGGCTGAGTGCCGGACCGAGCCTGTCGTTTGAAGTCGAGAGCCGTCCAATACATCACAACCTGCCCGTAGCGCCACTCAACAGAGACGCGCACTCTGCTCATGTTTTTGTTGACAAGCTTTTGATCCTGGGGTAGATTTCCGATTGCACCTGTGAAGGGGCTTGCCAATACCCCGTCGTTCCCGTAGGCTTGATCACCGTACACTCTGTAGAATTTGAACCGCTCGTCATTTTGGATGGCACTTGCAATTCGAGATTCCTTAAACAGCTTAATATCGTGATTTCGTCCAGGAAATGGGCCATACAAATGCGTAATTAGGCCATCGGGAGTCGAAATGGTCTGGTACTTCAGTGCATGCTTGCGTTGATGACCATTTTAGACAGACTTTTGACTCCGATACTTCCCATCGCGCGAAATGTTACGCGATATAGGTCGACAAATACCGCGAACAGTTCCATCTACAAACGCCCAAACGTTTTGCAATAGACCACCAGCTTCGAATACAGCATCAGCATAAACTTGAACGTTTTGGGCAGCATATTCATGTTTGAAGAACAAAAGATCGGAAAACTTGACATCGATAATTTCTAGTACATGTAGAAACAAGTTCGAAAGGCCACTAGACGTTCGCCCAAAAAACTATTCGAGGTCGCACCACCGTATCGGAACCGCCAATTTATAAAGAACAACACATAGGCCTTCTACTCCAGTTGCTGCAGTGCGTTCACGAGTCCGTATTGTGTCAAATTCAAAGTGCGCAACTAGGGATTCTTTGTGAGATTTTCCGAATCGAAACTTGGCAACGCAATCCGAATCGGAGAGAGAGTTCAAGTTAAAGAGTGCACGAAGATGAGGCCGAGGAGGTTCTTCCTCGTGAAAGTACGCGGCGATAGACGCAGCAAGCACAACGTGGCCTGAATGACAGGCTTCATTCCAAAGGCGCAGCAAGTGCGCCTTCTTTTGGTGTGGGCGAAGCCCAACAGTGAGATAACGTAGGAATTGAGCTTGGTCGCTGTCAAATCCCGGGGCTGGTCTTGTCGAGACAAAGGCGGCTGCGCTGAAATTCATGGTTGTTTGCGTGGCTGACTGGTAAACTCGAAAAGATAAGAGCTAGCAGAGTCTATCCACACCTCCAATTTATAAGCGGGATAGCAGTAAATTAACGGCAGAAAAGTACCTCATGTTTCGTAAGTCCGAACAGTATATTTGCACAGCTTTTGTGGGTTTCGAACGACTTACACGATCAAATTCGTGGATTGGCCACTGCGGTTAGGCACTAGACACACATGTTCATCTCACTTTTTGCAAGTTGTCGGTTCTGCTAAAAGGCTATATTATCGTTACAGTCAGACTACAATTCCGCTGTTGGAGCTCTTGGAGAAGCTAAAGGTGCTGGTCGGAGAGTTGGAAACTCAGACGAAGGTCGAGTCCAAGTTGAAAGCCCCGCTGACTCAGCTCCCCGGATCGGCTTCGCCGACTGGATAGTCCCAACATTCGCACTTCGCGTCAGCGACCTCGATGGCCGACTGAGACACCTCGGAAGGAGTCGAGCGAATGCAGCTTGGCCCTCAGGAGCCGCGATGCTGCAAATCAGATCGCACCGTGTATCGAACGTGATGCCCAGGGCAGATGTATCTGGGGCGGCCAGCAGATCGAACGAAAATCCAGACAGACTGCAGACGTTCTTCAACTCGGCGATGGAACGCATCTTGAAGAAGCAACGCGCCGCACAGGGGGTGCCAACGGTGCCCCCGGCGAGAAGAACGGAGCCGCAGGACGTCGACATGGATTCGGTGGGATCTGACCATGGAGAGTACGATCCGGACGATCTGGACCTCCCTGCCTCCCGGCAAGCGACGGTAGTCACCGCCGCTACAACGACTGGGCTGCTAGCAATCACCCCTCGCATTCGCGTGT